TATATATATATATATATATATCGGCGTTGGTGTTGTACCCATAGATTTGTTATATATATATATATATATATATATATATATATATATATATATATATATTTACATCAGCGTTAGTGTTGTACCCATAGATTTGTTATATATATATCGGCGTTGGTGTTGTACCCATAGATTTGTTATATATATATATATATATATATATATATATATATATATATATATATATATATATATATCGGCGTTGGTGTTGTACCCATAGATTTGTTATATATATATATATCGGCGTTGGTGTTGTACCCATAGATTTGTTATATATATATAAAACGGCGTTGGTGTTGTACCCATAGATTTGTTATATATATATATATATATATATATATATATATATATATATATATATATATATATATATATATATATATATATATATCGGCGTTGGTGTTGTACCCATAGATTTGTTATATATCTATCGGCGTTGGTGTTGTACCCATAGATTTGTTATATATATATCGGCGTTGGTGTTGTACCCATAGATATGATATATATATATATATATATATATATATATATATATATATATATATATATATATATATATATATATATATCGGCGTTGTTGTTGTACCCATAGGTTTGTTACATATCCATATATATATATATCGGCGTTGGTGTTGTACCCATAGATTTGTTATATATATATATATCGGCGTTGGTGTTGTACCCATAGATTTGTTATATATATATAAAACGGCGTTGGTGTTGTACCCATAGATTTGTTATATATATATATATATATATATATATATATATATATATATATATATATATATATATATATATATATCGGCGTTGGTGTTGTACCCATAGATTTGTTATGTATTTAGCGGCGTTGGTGTTGTACCTATAGATTTTTTATATATACATCGGCGTTGGTGTTGTACCCATAGATTTGTTATATATATATATCGGCGTTGGTGTTGTACCCATAGATTTGTTATATATTTATCGGCGTTGGTGTTGTACCCATATATTTTTTATATATCCATCGGCGTTGGTGTTGTACCCATAGATTTGTTATATATTTATCGGCGTTGGTGTTGCACCCATAGATTTTTTATATATCCATCGGCGTTGGTGTTGTACCCATAGATTTGTTATATATATATATATCGGCGTTGGTGTTGTACCCATAGATTTGTTATATATCAATCGGCGTTGGTGTTGTACCCATAGATTTGTTATATATTTATCGGCGTTGGTGTTGTACCCATAGATTTTTTATATATCCATCGGCGTTGGTGTTGTACCCATAGATTTGTTATATATATATATATATATATATATATATATATATATATATATATATATATATATATATATATATATATATATATATATATATCGGCGTTGGTGTTGTACCCATAGATTTGTTACATATTTATCGGCGCTGGTGTTGTACCCATAGATTTTTTATATATCCATCGGCGTTGGTGTTATACCCATAAAATTGTTAAATATCCATCGGCGGGTGCCATCGTCGTGTACCAGCCAAGACGCACGACTGTAAATCCGAAGGGTTTGGGTTAAGATCCGAAGGGAGACGGATTTTTCCCTAAAAAAAATTATATCCGTTTCCAGGTCGATACATCCTTCAATCGGAACCAGGTAAAGCATAGGGAAGTAAAGGCTGCCAGCGTGACCAAATTACCCACCGAGTGCTGATAGGTCGATACAATATAGATCTAGCACTATTTCCCAATACGCCGAAAGGCGGGGAAAATGGTCCCTTTTAAATCAATCGGAACAAACTGATTGATTGGCACCTTTCCGTCTTTCCAGGTGATAGTGTTATATTATGATATGAGAAGGAATGAGACTCACAGCCCATGGCGATGGCGAATGTGACTAGAAAGACCCGCCCGTGTTAAGGAAAGTCTTTCACAATTATAGCATGGGATTTCAGAACCATTGTTGTCACGATTTGTGTTTAGTCTTTTTCTTCTCAGACGCTCAGCTCTCATCCGTTCTGCAATATTTGCCTCCTTCATTTTCATTCTTTTCTTGATGTGGCCCCTGCACGCAACAGGGTCCATGGCATTTTGTTCCCACCAGTCCACCTCAATACCTCTATCATTAATGTCCCGCTTGTTATCACTCAATACACCTAAAGGTACTCGATGGGTATTGTGGCTAAAATCAGGCATACCATCTTTTCTATTTTCCTATTGTCAATTTTTGTATGGTTAAGCCAGGAAGTAAAAAAAGAAGTAAATATAAGTAAAGGTCCCTGTACCATGCCTTTAGGCCATAGGGCATATAGGGCTAGTCGCATGTTTTTATAGAATACAGAGACTCCTATCAACCCGGAAGATGCAGATTTAATCAACATTGTCACTACTAGTTTCTGCATATATCCTCGTGCCTAAATGCGACCATGGTTGTTACATTCGAAATAGCAGTGTATTTGAGTATTTTAAGTTACAAACAGCCACGAAAGAAGTGTTTTATTAAAAATTAATTGTTATAATGTAGTTATTGAAGTATGCAGATCAATATAATTATACTTTGTGTGTCTACGTAATTATGAGAATGTTGAATGCTAAATTAAGAATCGACATCACAGCACTCGAGACACTCCCATAAGCGCTCCGCTCCCATCTTCAGCAGCAAGTGAAGAGTTCCAATTCCAATGGCACCAGTAACTGTCTGTACATCCGTCTCGCTTTTCCTTTGAGTGTTGAGCGTCGGCCAAATCCCCTGGTAACTCCTCGCAGCCCCATTCTTCTCAGACGGTAATGATCTATCTGTGCCTCCACACTGTTCAGTAGCTCCTAAAGGACCCTCACAACATCCAGCTTGGCATACATCAGTTCATCAGCAAGCGTAATTATGAAACTGAATTTTTTACGTTATTTCAACCAAAAGATTTGATTTGATTTGATTCAAAAATCGACATCACAGCCCCCAGGGCATTATCATAAGCGCTCCGTCCCCATTTTCAGCAGCCAGCGAAGAGTTCCAATACTAATGGTGCAGTAGCATTCTGATTAAACGTCCGTCTTGCCTTTCCTCTGAGCCTCGAGCATCTGCCAGAACCTGTCATCACTCCCCCCTGCATCAGTCTCACCAGACTGTGGTCATGTTTGTGATCAAGCATACTCCGAACTGTACACGCTCTCTCACAAGGCACTAACCACGTCTGCCTTATATTGCACCAGTTATCCACCATTTGTGCAGAGCCAGCCAGTCTGTCCATCTGTTCATTTCCCAACACATCGGCATACTCCGGTGAAAACATCCAGACAATACTCCTCACCCGTGTCCTCAGCAGCGAGGCATGCCACTCTGCACGAAGCATGCCTGTCCCGATCTTCTTCAGCATGCTTTCTGCGTCAGTTACAATCAAGATGTGTGTGTGTGTGTGTGTGTTTGTGTGTGTGTGTGTATGTGGTGTTCTCTAACCAGCGGAAAACTGCAGTGACCGCCTCCACCTCCATTCTTAAGCTGGATGTTGTGGTATCATATGCTAGGCTCTCCTGCACCTAACTTCCACCATTACCTTTTGTTAAGAAACCACAAGCACTTCTTTTGCCTCTTTACACTAAACTGTCTGTGTTAATAATGATCAAATCCTCTGAGAGAGAAAAGAGTTAAAATCGATAATAAGGTCGAAGAGAAAAAGTTGGCATGGGGCAGTTGAAATACACACAAAGGTAGCAAACAAACTGGCACACTAAACGAGAAAATCTCGTTTCCAGCAAAAGATACGAGGAACATAGAACCCGAGACGGACCAAGAACATGGTAATATAATATCAAAGAAATTACTCTACAACTGTTACATTAGTTTGTGATCGAAACGACCAGAATCAGAACCCTTTGTTTTTCCCATCGTTACCGCATGCAGTAAAAGAAGAATTGAAGAAGAAGGTGACGAAATTCATGAACTACATGTCTTATAATGCCACATACTCTCAAGATATTTCAATCAACACTTTTACACTTTTGCTTAGCGCGAGCAGTAAGGCGAATTTCAGAAGCACAGATGGGCTTTCGACGAAACAGAAGCTGCACAGATGCCATTTATACATTGAGACAACTATCAGAGAGAACAATAGAACACGATAGGACATGTTTGTTGACATTCATAGACCAAGGAAAAGCATTTGATAGAATCGACAGGAATATGTTGTGGGTATGTATGGAGAAAAATGGAATCAGCAATCATCTCATTAATATTTACACAAGCATGTACACACGTAGTAAAGGCTGCATAAATTCGAAGACAGGATTGTCAAGTACTTTTATAGTGAACAGGATTGTCAAGAACTTTTATAGTGAACACTTTTGTTATTCACGGCTGTGTAATGATGATGTGCACGTCAGGAAGAAAAAAAGAAGAGGAAGAAGAAGAAGAAGAAAGGCGAATTCCCATAATGACGACGATAACGAGACGATAGTGATTGTTTCCTGACTTCCCAGCTTTATTTTGTCGCATGTTAAGACCCTCCATAAATATTGCAATTATGGGCGCGCGCACTCACTCAAACAAGGGAGTCGCCATTGTGTTGGCGGCTAGACGCCCGCCTATGGGTCGGAAAGTTCTGGGTTCGCCTCCTGACGAAGCTGGACTTTTTTCCAAAATGACTTTGACTTCCAGGTCGACACAGCCTTGAGTAGGTACCAGGGGCAGTCCTGGGAAGTAGAGGCGGCCGGTGTGACCCACCAAGTGCCGATGGTCTATAAAAATATAGGTCTAGCCTTTTATTCCCAATACGCCTAAAGGAGTGGAAAAAGGACATTTACTTTACTTATACACATAAGCACTCGTAGACACGTGTTATTACTGAAATAGTGTAATATATGACTCTATGCGCGTACATACAAACAGACAGATGGACGTATTGACATGCAGGCGTACCACACACACAAACATACAAACATACACACATAATTATGTCAATTCTATAATGAAATGTTTTCTTTTCTTTTCATAGGGATATTATGATTAATCAGAACATTAGAAATCGAATCAGGATAAAAGAAAGCGATAAACAAAGAGAACGATCAAAATCTGCACATTCATTTAAAAATTCACAATTTTATGCCAAGTATCTCTTCTTTGAAAACGCCAGAAGTAACCACTTTTTATCAGACAAAACATCCAGTACCACACTTTGTAATCAAAAGAAAGAACTTGATGGCGAAAGATCATTACACTCGGTATACTTCAACAGTCCAAGATATGGAAACTTCTCTAGCAGGGAGGCCAAAGCATCTTTACAAACAATCAATCTGGCGCGAGACTCAAATAAGACCGGGTTGTTGTATTCGAATTCTGTCTGGCGAGGTTCTGCCCCCACCTTGAATGAGGCATCTAGCGATGTTAATGCAAATGCTACGCCTGCTGAAATATTTGCGACTGGAGTGGGGATTTTAACGCCAAAACACTCATGTGATGTGAATTCTATAATAAAGCAGGAGCAAGCCAACCCCGTTAGCTTAGCAACAAACAATGTGAAAATGTCAGCAACGTCCCCAGACAAGCCAGATCTGGCTTTATCACTAAAAACGACTTTAGCAAATTCACTGACAGTTTCAAGGTCTCGTATGTCTAGTTATAATACGAGCAACGAAGAGGTCATTTCTGATTTGAAGACCAGTGTTTCAAGGCATGACAGTGATATTTTGCATAGCTCTAACTTAAAAGAAGTTACTGATTCTTTCTCTAAAAGTCCTAACTCTACTTCGGATGACTTGAAGCATCCCAGTCCATCAAACTCTGCACATACACTGCATACAGAAAACAAATTACACAAGTCTTCAAAACTAGAGTCTACATCAGATATCATTCATGGTCAAACAATCGAGTCGCCAAAGTACTTCAAGCAGCAATCAAAACCTGCAGAAGATTCTGGACCCACCTCAGAAAGAAGAGTTTCAACAGCAAAGATTACTTTAAAGCACCCACATTTGCCTAATCAAAAGGAAGAAAGGAGAATCTATGTGATAGAAACGTGTCCGAAGCCACAACATAAGGCACATAAAGCATCACCAAGACTTAATGAATGGCTGAAATCTGTTATTAAACTGCACAATGAGCAAAAAGACAGACAATGGTCTTATCCTGAAGACGAGACCATACCATCTGAAGTCAGTTCTTTGATAGATGTCGCTGCTGATTCAGACAACACGGAATTCAAAACAGTGTCTTCTAACACCGCCCATTTGTTATCCCTCACAGAAAATCCAGGCGACACAAGCCAGCCTCAGATTCAGTGTGTATCCATAGGTATAAATACTGATATTTCACTCTCCAAATACGATCTGCACATAGACACACACGTTGACCTCGAAAAGGACATAGGTTGTTCACATTTCATCGAAACTGAAAGAGATTTCCACGCATGTGGAAGACTGATTAATAAATATGGAGCAGTGTGCTCTAACACGGACGCCATCACAAAGATCAATAACAGAATTCAACATCGTCACAACACTGCCAAACATTTTCAGACGATAGCAGATTACGCCGTTGACAATATGAAAGACAATCGTACAGAAGGAAACCAAGTTTTGGAATCTAGTTTATGTAGACCACAAATAAGTATACACGTAACAGATGAAGAAGATCCGACTGTACATGACGTCAGTTCCTTATCGCGCCCAACTTTAAACAGTACCAACACATCATTTTCATGTGATAATGTCAACGAGAAAAGACAAAAAGTCCTAACAGAATCATCACAATATATGTATACTGCCAGAGGCCCATCTCCTCACTATATGTTCCCTTGTGGACACTTAACTTGGGATGACGCTGAAATGTCAAATTACCTGACGTCCCCAAGAAACAGTATATGCAGTAACAGCAGCCTGATGTCTTATAAATCAAGCAATGCAGATTCTGCAGTGGATCTGGGTCCAACAGACGATGATCACGATTTCGAGTATGCAGATTTCCTCGCCAGATACCAAGCCCGTAGATTCTCCCACCCTGATAGAAGTTTAGCCTTCTCATCCAGACCAGCTCTTGGTGATACGTTAGCAAGTGTTTCTGTCAACAGAAGTTCTAGTGCTGAGCATATACCATTTTGTGCTGGTACAGACGCTCGTGAAGATCTTCCTCAAGTATTAAACACGCATGGTTACATACAAACATCACTACAAACGACACCCTTGACCAACATCTCAAACTGCTCACACGAACTATCGTCTTTGACACCAGGGCCTTATGACAACGATCAAGCATCACATTCTGAACAATTACCAAAGAGATCAGACACGCAGTACTTAGATATGCAGAATACAGGATTTGATTATTCACCAAAAGATCCATACAATATGAATAATATCTTCTTGAGATCTGGAATCGAACCATTATCACCAGGAAACTCTCATGTTGATGAAACTAAGGAACGACAAGAAGCATTTCAAGACATCAGCGACAGCGCCAAAGCGGAAGAAAACACTCTGTTTGGAGTAGTTGGAAACCCTGCCTTATTAGAGACTCCGCATCAAGAACCAAGAAAGAAGTCACAGTTTTATATCATACCAGAACTAATAATCAGCGACCACAGTGATGCAAACTATAGCAAAATCAATGCTAGAACCACACCGCAGGAAGAAGGCGATGTTGAACTGCAGTTGCCATCTAGACCGACCAGTAGTCTATCCTCAGAATACAGTCTGTTCGACTGCGAGGAGAGCGGTTTTGCTCGAAGTCTGTCTGTGTCGTCACTCTGCTCTATCGCATCCACATGTTCTACGTGTAGTCAGAAGTCTGAATCATCGGATTTGGGAACAGCTGTTAAGAAGGTAAGTGTTCTTCTTCCTCTCGCGGTCACCGGCTGCAAACTCTGGCGGAATGTTTTGGTTGATCGTCCACTTCTGGACTCTAGTCCTGTTCAAGAATCTAAGTGTTGCGTGTACATCTGTTTCACATGTCTAACTAATTTGCATGCTGAATGTTGGTTCCTTGCCTCTTAGGTAGATGTACTCCGAATTCGAAGGAAGCTCCCAATGAGTCGACTCCTACGAGATATCTTAGGGCAGGCAGTGGGCACGACCCCGGTCGTGCAGTGGGTCTATTCTTGTTCTCCCCACAATTGGGCACCGAAACCCACACGGGGAGGAAGGTCAGTGGTATGTTTGTTAGATATTGTACTTTATGCCATCAGGCATATTGGGCACACTGTACCAGCCCTGTATTTTATAGACCAAGCTACCCTAGGTGGGGGATGTGGTCAACATCCTGCCGGCGTTAGTTACTTTCCAGAACTTTACCTGGGTGGACATGGAAGGCAAGGTCACTTTTGAAAGAGTCCTTTTAAGTTCGGATTTGAACCCACGACATTGACATCCGCAGGGAAGCACCAGCGGCTACACTACGTCTGCTCTCTGTGAAATATTGTGCAACACCATTATCGATTCTTTAGCTCTCTTTAAGTGGAAAGTGGGGGGGGGGGGGGGGGGGGGGGAGGTGAGTTGGGGGGGGGGGAGTTGGGGAATAAACAGGAGGGTATCCATGGGTAAGATACTTGTTTTAGTGGGAGTTCGGCTCTGGAATGCAGGCGTTTCAGAAATATTCTGAGCGTGGCTGGTGCTAATGAGCTTTGCTCTGTGTACTATTTTATTCTATCGACTATACTATATCTTATCACACCATACCGTAGCATTATATACCATACTACTCCATACCATAATAAACCTCACTATACCATTCCACACTATACTTTACCATACCATACCATACCTCACTATACCATACCACACTATACTTTACCATACCATACCATTCTATACTATACCATATCAGACAACACTATACTTAACTATTCCATACCATACTGTATCACACTATGCTAAATTATGCCATACCATACCACATTAGTTTTTAACCATACCTTACCATACCAGACTATTCTAAACCATACCATATCATATTCTACTAGAACATACCATACCATATCCTACCACACATACCATACCATGCCATATCATTTAATAACATACCATACCATATTATACCATAACACAAGATACCATACCATATCATGTCACGCCATACCATACCATACCATACCATACCATACCATACCATACCATACCATACCATACCATACCATACCATACCATACCATACCATACCATACCATACCATACCATACCATACCATACCATACCATACCATACCATACCATACCATATCATATCATATCATAACATACCATACCATATTATACTACACCACAAAATACCATACCATATCATGCCATGCCATACCATACCATACCACACTACACTGTATTGTATTGTACTGAACTACCGGCGTGCGAACAGAGAACCTATATACAGTTAACTGCAAATGAACAAAGTGATTCCATTTCGCTAGGCTGGGTCAGTCTCAGAGCTCTGTTCAATTTACAGAATTCTTCCTTGATCTGAATTACAAGACGAGATCTTCGAGCAATGATGCGACAGTCTAGCCTCGGCGTTATCGCCGTTCCCATCAAATGTCAACTATAAAATACTCTGCTATAAATTATGCACTCAACATAGAGAAGAAATAGGCCGGAACTGATTCTGTCAAAGAGCGCTAACGTTATCTGTAGGTGTATAGAAGCCGGCATCCGGTGTTCACATCTAACCCCTTGTTCTATAACCTGTTACCAGATGAGTTATAGTGTGTGATTCTCAGTCGGTTCTATAAAAAGGTTTCTAAGTAAACTATCAAATGTGTTTTTTTTTTAAATCTACAAAAACACTATGTACATCTCTTCTATATTCCCCGTTCTCTCTGCTATTTGCAGTAAAATGAATATCTGATCTACTGATGTTCTGTTCTGTCGGAAACCGCTTGGTAATCACCCAATATATCATCGACGTATATATTTTACATTTTCTTGGTCGTGCAGGTATGCTGACTGCTCTAATATGCTACCGCACGGACTATGTAAATAAACTTCGAATCTCACAGTACCTGTTGCACAGACACCAGTTTCGTCTTGTCCCTGTCCGAGAACATCCGGTATACATGCAGCAGGAGCAAATCAAGCCTGAGCTTCATGAACTCAGGTGGGACCGCCCTCTGAGATTGTCTAGGAACTCGTGGGTCGAAACAATTGTGAACGAGGAATCACTTCTATTGATGATTGGTAGACTTTTGCTGTACATGCTTCCCTGTGGAGTTTATTCTTATTTCCTTATTAGCCTGTTTAGCGGACCGCACATCTTATAGCTTGTAGACAATAGTGATATTCATCAATTATTTTCCTACTTTTACTTGTCTGCTTTCTTTAAAATGGGTAATATTAATGACTTTTTCCTCTCATGGGGTAATTTCTCCGTCTTCAAAACTAGTTTTAATTTAATTAATATATCTCTAAATGTAATGCATGCCCACCTTCTTTTATAAGTTCAGCAGCAATTCCGTCAACGCACCAATTGCTTTATTGTTTTAAGCCGTGTTATTACATACAGTTACAAGTTAGTTGCGTATTCTTTAGATAACGTTGCAGAGCCAACACCAGCATGCTTTGGCTGTTGTGATTTTTCTAGGTAGAGTCTATGTTCAGTAGTTTGCCTCTGGTCTCTGAACGGTACCATTGTCGAAACCAACAAAAGGCGCAAGACCCACTGCTGGGATCGAACCCGGGCACTGCGGAATTACAAAGCGCGTTCGCAACGCCTAAGCTACAGACGTCGACAGTAACCTGAGTACTGACATAATAAAGTTATCCGCGACTGGTAAATTTGCATAGTATAGAATAACGCATATCGGTGCACTGTATTTTTGCACTGTATATTTGTCTGGATAATGTGTTGATGAATAGTAAAATGTGTACTCTCCCATTGACCAATCTTTATATCTAACTATCCATTGAAATCGAATCTCCCCAAGTGGCTTCCTGTGGATTGTTTTGGTTAAAAAAAAAAAAAAAAAAAAACAACAGACCAATTCTCTTTAAGAAGCATGTCGTAAAAGACGACAATTGAGAGGGTTCATGAAATCGGATGTGTCGGGCCGAAAGACGCAGATATATCAGCGATTCCTAGTTGTAAACTACAACACAGTGTGTAATGACCCTTTTAAGAGAGAACTCAGTAGTAGTAGTAGTAGTTGTAGTAGTAGTAGTAGTTGTATTATTATTATTATTATTATTATTATTATTATTATTATTATTATTATTAGTAGTAGTAGTAGTAGTAGTAGTAGTAGTAGTAGTGGTGGTAGTAGTGATAGTAGTAGTGGTAGTAGTAGTGGCAGTAGTAATATTAGTAGTAGTAGTGGTGGTAGTTAGTAGTAGTAGTAGTAGTATTGATGGTGGTTGAAGTAGTGGTGGTGGTTAGTAGTAGTAGTAGTGGTAGTAGTAGTAGTAGTAGTAGTTTGCGATGGTGGTAGTAGTAGTAGTAGTAGTAGTAGTAGTAGTAGTAGTGGTATAGTAGTAGTAGTAGTAGTAGTAGTAGTAGTAGTAGTAGTAGTAGTAGTAATAGTTGTAGTAATAGTAGTAGTAGTCTTAGCTGTAGTAGTCGTAGTACTAATAGTAGCAGTGGTTGTAGTAGTTGTAGTAGTAGGAGTAGTTGTAGTAGTAGTATTAGTGGTAGTTAGTAGTAGTAGTAGTGGTAGTGGTGGTGGTAGTAGTAGTAGTAGTAGTAATAGTAGCAGTGGTAGTAGTAGTTGTAGTAGTAGGAGTAGTAGTATTAGTGGTAGTTAGTAGTAGTAGTAGTAGTACATGTGGTGGTGGTAGTAGTAGTAGTAGTAGTAGTAGTAGTAGTAGTAGTAGTAGTATAGTGGTAGTAGTAGTAGTAGTAGTAGTAGTAGTAGTAGTAGTAGTAGTAGTAGTAGTAGTAGTAGTAGTAGTAGTAGTAGTAGTAGTAGTAGTAGTAGTAGTAGTGTAGTAGTAGTAGTATGTAGTAGTATGGTATGTAGTAGTAGTAGTATAGTAGTATGTAGTAGTAGTAGTAGTAGTAGTATGTAGCAGTAGTAGTGGTATGTAGAATGGTATGTATGTATGTATGTATGTATGTATGTATGTATGTATGTTGATGTATGTATGTATGTATGTATGTATGTATCAGTATGTATGTATGTATGTATGTATGTATGTATGTATGTATGATGTATGTATGTATGTATGTATGTATGTATGTATGTATGTATGTATGTATGTATGTGTATGTATGTATGTATGTATGTATGTATGTATGTATGTATGTATGTATGTATGTATGTATGTATGTATGTATGTATGTATGTAGTATGTATGTATGTATGTATGTATGTATGTATGTATGTATGTATGTATGTATGTATGTATGTATGTATGTATGTATGTATGTATTGTATGCATGTATGTATGTATGTATGTATGTATGTATGTATGTATGTATGTATGTATGTATATGTATGTATGTATGTATGTATGTATGTATGTATGTATGTATGTATGTATGTATGTATGTATGTATGTATGTATGTATGTATGTATGTATGTATGTATGTATGTATGTATGTATGTATGTATGTATGTATGTATGTATGTATGTATGTATGTATGTATGTATGTATGTATGTATCTGTATGTATGTATGTATGTATGTATGTATGTATGTATGTATGTATGTATGTATGTATGTATGTATGTATGTATGTATGTATGTATGTATGTATTTATGTATGTATGTATGTATGTATGTATGTATGTATGTATGTATGTATGTATGTATGTATGTATGTATGTATGTATGTATGTATGTATATGTATGTATGTATGTATGTATGTATGTATGTATGTATGTATGTATGTATGTATGTA